AACCTTGTGTTTGGCACCGCAGTCTCCAACCTAGTAAATCTATAAAAAATGTTACTGTCTGTTTCCCCATCTCTTAAGTATTGAATAATAAAGAACTCTACAAATTTTTATTTGAGATTTTTTTAAGCCTCAAAAACAATGCTGTTTTCACGATAAGGCTTGAGAAACTTCACACAATAGACCAAGAGCTCGGAGACTGAAAGGAGCCGTTCTTCAATTGCTTTAATGCTCGCCTTATTGAAGCTCGACAATGCACTTCTTCCTCAAGACGCTGCTGCTTCCGTATTAACTTTGTCTTTTTAATTTTGGAGCAAGAAACAAGGCATTCTTGAATCCTTTTATCTAGCGGCTTCCTTTTGAAGCTGCAGGTTGGGCGCTCGCGTGCTGGGGATGGCCAGGCTTTGACGTCTGACCCACATGGGGTCAGCCTGTGCTTTCTGTTCCCTAGTTCAAGGACCGCAGGACACTCCTGGGCCCCTGGAACTCGATTTTCTTTTACGATTGGGTGCCAAGAAGCTCGTCTGCCAGGGTGGGGACCAAGGGGGCTTTGCAGGGTGCGTGGAGTGCTGGGATCTGCCTGCTCACAGGGGGTGCTTCCTTCGTGGGGACCATGTCATGATTGTAAACATCCAATGCCCCTAAGGGATGGCTCCTTTTAGCTGCAGAATACTGTCCAGCCCGTGTAAAACAAGAGGCCAGAGATGGACCGACCACCCAGCTTTACAGCTACCCAGGACTATCTCAAAACCCATCAGACTTCGCTTTCCTTCCCCACCCCACCCCATCCTGCCCTTCACTGCCCTCCAGGCCAGAGTATTTGAGTCTCCACAAAGAGGTTTGTGAGCAGAGAGGAGCAATCCTAAAGGTCAGCTGCTCTGGAGACCTTGTGCTAAGCCTAAGGCTCTGCACCCAGGGGCCCAGGCTGGAGAGGCTGTGGCTCACCGGGGCCTTCCTCCTCCTCCATCTGGCCACTCCACGAGGCGGCTTGCCCGATGAGCCCAGAGCTCAGGTCCTGGTCAGTGGCCCCCGTGCTGGCGTCTCAGGAGTGGTTCCATCTTCCGTGCTTTCTTGTGAAAAGCTGTGCGGACGCCTGGCGGGCTGGCGGGAGCTCCTCGCCCAGGGCAGGACTCAGGGGGCCACGGACCCTCCTTCCGGGGCTGGAGCTTACAGCCTGTGTCTGCGAGATGGAGGCTGAGGAGGAAAGGGGCTGTGGAAGGGGTTTCTGTGGTGACACCTGGCAGCCGCCATCTCTCGAGATAGGTGTCTGATTAGCACAAGAGGCAGGCTCGGCAAGGTGGCGAGCAGGCACGGAAGGGAACACCGCGCTCTGTTCAATCTGGAAAACAGAAAAGTAGCACATATTTTAAGTAATGATTACTAAATTTTTAGAAAGCAGCATGAAATTAGATAATTATGGAAACTAACACATGGAGATAATATAATCAAACATTTTAAAACTGTCAATTTTTTAGAAATGTAATAACCCAGAAATTATCTAGAAAAACATTCATCAGATTTGAATAATAGAAAATCCATTTTGAAAAATCCACACATCCCATTTCTCTCTGCATTTCAGGGGTGGACCGTGGTTTACGTGTTTTAAAATTCCCTTGCCACGTGGAAACACCGTAGAAATTTCAAAAAAAGCCTGCCCCCGCCC